GGATAAATTTAAAAACAATATTATAACTTACTTCTGACCTGAAAATTATTAATAATTATTATATCAACAATTAAGAAAATTAAAACAAACTAGATCATTATAAGATTATACAACTGCTTTTTAAAATATTGTTAAACAAACATCAAATATATATAAAAATAATAAAATAGATAGATATATAGAAAGATTAAAACCAGTTACAAAGAAGGAAGTGATATATAAGGCTCCTATTATTTATGTTGATACAATTAAATATATAACTAATCACAATACCATAATCTTTGAAATTTTCATATTCAAGAAATTAAATTTTATCTCTCGAATCAACTATTCAAGATGGAATAATACTAGTGGAATTGTAGATATGAATTTAGATACAATAAATACTTAAAAAAAACAAATTATTAATGAAATAAATATCAAAATTTTAATTAATCAGAAGGAAATAAGATGGAAAATAATAATAATCATAATAATAATCATTTTAATAATAACAACCACCTTAATAATAATCACCATTTTAACTCTAACTCTCAAAACAAAGTAAAATATTTTAATTACAACAAATTGAACTATGTGATAAAACAATATATACAAAAAAAAGGATCTTTGAAAAATATTGAACAAGAATCTTTTAATAATAATTTAGAAAAATTAACATATTTAACTAATATTGAAAAAAAACTTTAAAAATTTATTACAATTTAATAAATCAGTAAAAAGAAAAACAGTTTGAATTTTATTAAATAATAATATTACATATAAGTTGTTAAAAGATCTTTTGTTAAAAAATATAAGTTAAATATTAAATTAATCAAATCTTTAAAGATTAAATTATAAATAATCATAAACAAGAAATAAAAGGTAAAGTTAAATTAATAGATTTTAAAATAAAAAAATATGAGATGAAATATATTAGAATACAAGTTATTGAACTAAATTAATATGATATAATCCTTAATAAAAATTGATTATATAATGCAAATCTTATTATTAATTGGTGAAATAATACTTTAATATTTAATTTTGAAAGAAAATAATTCATTATTCAGACAGATAAAAAATCAACAAAGAAATCTAAATATAATACTATTTTTATTTCAAAATAATAATTTATAAAAATACCTTCAAATAAAAAAATGTTTAGTCTTTATTTAATTAAAGAGAAATCTTCTAAAGGATAATTAAAATAATATCTTCTTGAAACTAAAAAAAATTTAACAAAATTTAGTAATATCTTTTTTAAAAATTTATCAAGTAAATTATCTCACAAATGAAGATTGAACTATGCAATTGATCTTGATCTTATTCTTGATGTTAAATTTTTTTCTTGTTCTATTTATTGATTATTTAATTATAAAACTAAGAAATTAAAAATTCAACTTTCTGATCTTTTACAAAAAGAATTTATTCAATCTTCTGTTTTTTTTTTGGCACTCCTATTCTTTTTATTTACAAAAAAGAAAGATCTTCATATTAGATATCATCAAATTAGAATAAAAAAGGAGGATGTTTATAAAACTACATTCTGAATACATTATAGTTATTATAAATTTTGGTACTACTTTTTGAATTGACAAATACTTCTGCAATATTTATAACTCTCATAAATGATATTTTTTATAAATATCTTGATAAATTTATAATCATATATCTTGATAATATTCTTATATACAGCAAGACTAAAGAGGAATATTTAAAACATTTATATAAAGTATTATTCAAATTTAAAGAATATCAATTAGTAAAATTAAAAAATGTGAATTCTTAAAAAACAAAATTGAATATCTTGATCATTACATCTCTGAAAAAAAAATTTCTGTTGATAAATGAAAAGTAGAACCAATAAAAAAATAATTAAATCCTATTAATTTAACGAAACTTAAATCATTCTTGAGAATTACTTCATATTATAAAAAATTTGTTAAAAACTTTTTTATTATTGTTTCTCTTTTGACAACTTTATTACAAAAGAATATACTATATGAATAAAAATCAAATTAACAAAAAGTCTTTGATAAACTAAAGGAAAAATTAATCTCAACTTCTGTATTACTTATTTCAAATCAAATTAAACCTTTTACCATAACTACTGATACTTCTGACATTACAATCGAAGTTGTATTAAGTTAAAATCATAGTAAAGGTGATCAACCTGTCACATTTGAATCTAGAAAATTAAATTCTGCTAAATTAAATTATTCAACTTATGAAAAGAAACTTCTTGCTATTGTTCATGTTATTAAATTTTAACATCATTATCTTAAAGAGAAACAATTTACTATTATTACAGATCATGTTGCTTTAAAATTTATTCAATCTCAAATATATTTATTTTGATAACAAGTTTGATAGTTTCAAATATACTTGTATATTGATACTACCTGTTGGGAGAATGAGGAAGCAAGTACAACAAAGTACTTAGGTTTAGTCCAGTAGTTATCAGGAGAATTTTGAAAGTATGGAAAGATAAATAATACTAAAATAACTAATATATTAGATTATAGAACAATAAAAGGTAAAGAAATTGGATAAAATAAAAAGAAGGCAAAATGAGACAATTACAAGAAAAAGATTGTAAATATAGAAAAGAAGAATAATGGCAAATTCCAATCTAAAGAAAATAAGAAATAAAATAGAAAAGTTTCACTAGAACTTTGTAAGGATTTAAAAATAAAAAAGGTATATTCCAGCTAAGTCATATGACAGTTAAGTAAAAAATTGAAAATCAATAATTTATTTTAAAGTTTTAAAACTCAAGACTATATAATATAGACTTTATTTATAATTTAGAAACAAATCAAGGAAAAAAACAAGTATGTATATAATTTATTTGTAGACAATAATAAAATTTTTATTAAAGAAAATAAAAAAAAAGTACAAGAAGAAATAAAAAAAATAAAGTATCTATCCTAATTTTACTTAAAAACTATTTAAAGAATTAATCAAGGTAAAAAAAAATAATATTATTGATAGTATTCTTCTTTTTTTTTGAGGAAGAAAAATTAAAGCTACTTTTATAATTATTCTGATTCTGTTCTAAAAATATAAATTAATTTATTAATTGATTATATGATGAAAAAAGAAAAAGAAGAAAAAGAAAAAAAAAAGAAAGAAAAAGAACAAAAATAACAAAATAAACTCAATTCCAATCTTGCTTAGCTTCTTAGCTATTGTAAAGGTGATGGCAGTTCAAAACATTTGCATCTTTGTCTTGGTAAGTGATTTTTCATTAGGAAGAGTAGTCACCATCTAAGCAAAATAATATTTTCTACAGTAACCTACAGTAGACTGTAATATCCGCAGTTCACATAACTGGTATAGCCAAAAGAAATTATAAATATAAGTAGGAAAAGAGAAGAAAGAATCAAGATTTTTAAAATGAGTTCAAGACGAAGGGGATGGTGTGAAGGATAAAAATGAAGTGGATAGTATAAGGTAAGTGAATAAGCAAAAGTAAATGGTAATAAGTATTGTTAAGTAACCTTAAGAAAAGAAAAATTATATAGACAGAAATTAAAGGTAACAGGATGTAATAAATAGAAAATGAGTGTAAAAACGTGATAATGACAATAAAGAGGACAAAGAAAATAGTAACAATACAAAATTATTTTGGAATTCTGAAATTACAATTTTGAAAAAAAAGTCAAAATAGTTTTTTATAAAAGACAAAATTATTTTACTTAAAACTCAAAATTTTTGACCACCCTTTAATTGAATATATACATAACTGAATATTTTTTTTTACTTTTATATATAAAATAGATTTTACATAAATCTCATCAAGTTAAAATATCTCAAAAATTCAAAATTAATTTTGGGAACATGTATAGTTTCAAATATTATAATTTTTTAACTTTGATATCAAATATCAACAGGAAAAATAAATATTGTAGTAAATACATTATCTCAAGTTCCTTAATTTTTTAATATTATTGAAATTATTACCAATCTTATTAATAAGAAATTTATTATAAAAATATATAAAAAGAATTTTTACTTTAAACTTATTTATTAAATATTAACTTCTGGAAATAATAATAATTTCAAAACTCATAATTTTGAACTTTATAATAAATTAATTTATCTTTGAAATGGCAAATGACTTGTTATTCCTAATAATAAAGAAATACGAACTACCTTATTATACAAAACTTATAATATTGAAACCTCAGAATATTTGAATATAAATAAAACTTATAAAAAAATCTTTCAAAATTATTTTTGACCTAGATTAAACAAAGATGTAAAATGATATATTAACAGTTGTAATTTTTATTAACAAATAAAATCATTTAATCAAAATTTACTAAACTTCTTCAACCTTTACAAATACTTACAAGATATTGAAACTATATTATAATAGATCTTGTTACTTAATTATCAAAAACAAAAACAGGATACAATATCATTATTACTTTTATAAAAAAATTATTCAAAAAAGTATATTTTTATTTAACTTATATCAATGCAACTGCTATTGATATCACCAATATCTTTTTTATAACTATTTTCAAAAATTATGACCTTCCTAAAATAATTATTTCTAATTGTGATTTAAAGTTTATTAGTAAATTTTGAAAATCTATATTTAAAAAGATTGAAACTCAACTTGTTATGTTTACTACTTATAATTCTCAAACTAATGAACAATTCGAATAAATAAATTAAATCATGGAAAAAATGTTAAGAGCATATATCAACTGTCAACAAAATAATTGAGATGAATTATTATATGTAGTTGAATTTACAAATACTAATTTACAAAATTTCTGTACTAAATTTATTTCATTTGAAGTAGATAATAGTCAATATCTTAATATTCTTTCTCTCTTTTTGCCAGTAAAACTACCAATGTTGTTACAACTAATAATTTATTATTAAAGTGTAATAATATTATTAAAATTACTTAAAATAATTTGCAGATAGCACAGGAATGGCAAAAAAATTATGCCAATAAACATAGGTATAAATTAAGTTTCAAAAAAGATAATAAAGTAATGGTAAATACTATTAATATAATGGATCTTATTCAATTTAACTATTCAATCAAGAAACTTTTTTCTAAATATATGGAACTTTACATAATTGAATAAATCATTTCACTAATTATATACAAGTTAAAATTATCTCCTACCTTAAAAACACATCCTGTATTCTATGTATCAATATTAAAATTATATGAAGATAATTTTAATGAATTTAATTATGAAATTCTATCACAACCAGAAGTAATTTCTGAAATTCAGAAAGAAGAATATGAAGTTGAAAATATTTTAAATAAAAAAATGATTTGATAAAAACCATTTTATTTAATTAAATAAAAAGGTTATCCATTATATGATGTAATTTGGAAACTTAAGGAAAATCTAATAAATATAGTAAAATTATTAAATAAATTTGAAAATCAACATAAATGTTATTACTAGTTAACCTTTTGAACTAATTTTATTTTTCAAAAGGCAATTTACAACTAACAACTTGTAAGCAGTTATTTTAGTTTATGAATTGAAGAAGATAATAAAAAAAAAATAAAAGAAATATTTTAAATTAAATACTATAACTAATTAAAGAACTTAAGAATTTATGACCACAGGAATTAAATTATTAATTAATGGTTAAATTTTAAAAGTCAGTTTAAAAAATTAAGGCAAAGAGTTAAATATATTTGATAATGGTTTATAAAAGAATAATATAATTTTATGGATCAGAATTTATATTTGAATAATATAAATTAATAGAAAAGTAACAGGGTTTTTAATATAAAGAATATAAGTTTATTATAAAGAAAATCAATAATTCAGTTATTTTAGAATTATAAAAATATTAATTCAATTATAAAATTAATTACAGTTGAGATTACTTTCTAAATTTCACTATTTAGAACTATTTGAATCTTATTTGAAACTAATTAAATCTATCTTGGGGTGGAGAGAAAACTTACTCTTTTTATAATATTTGATTTAGCTAGTAAGTTGATCAGTAAGTTGGTTAAAATCTTGACTAGTAATTGTATCAATTAGTTGGTCACTAAGTTGGTCAATCAGTTGGTCACTAAATTGGTCAATAAATTGGCCAGTAACTAGGCTACTATGATCTACATTATTGATTTAATTCGTATTACACTAATAAATAAATACTAATTATAACTAATAATTAAAATATACTAAATAATTATACTAATAAAATAAATACAAATAAGAAATAAAATAAAATAATAAGAATTTATTAAAGTGGAGGAAACTCATGATAACAATGTTGAATTTTAAGGAGGGAGAAATATAACATTTTTTATTTTTATTTATTTTTATTTATTTAATCATTACTATAATTATTGTTTTATTTTATTATTATATTATTATCAAATCATTTTATATTTTGTATTAATCTGAATTTGATCAGATTATTATTTATTTCCTATTTTGTTATTTGCAATTTTGATTATAAATTACATGAAATCTTAATAAAGAAAATCAGGGAATTGTTTTCTGTTTAAATCAGTATTTCATTTATTTTTTTGTTATTTCTTGGTGAAGATAACTTATTACTTACAGCAAACATAACCAAGTTCATTACATGTTGAAATTAATATGTTAAGACAAAAGTTACAACTTATACATCATAAAAATTTTTAAAATAGAGGTTTTCATTTTTTGAAAATCCAGTTATAAAAAATATAAGATATAATTATTTTTAATTAATGATCATAAAATTTGCACAAGAATCTCAAGATATAATAGAATTTACAATAAAAAAAATATAAAAGAAAATCTTTAATAAAATAAGTATTACAATATATTTTATATATTTCTTAAAATTTTATTTTTGGCATACATTGCATACAGCTAAAAAAAAATGAGATGATATTATTTACTTAAATAATTATACTAACCTACTAAAAGAACAACTTCTATGACCTTACGCTAAAAAAAAAATAAACCTCCCTTTTTTGGTACATCTTTTGTTTGTACAGTAATACCAAAATTAGCAAAATTTGTGAATAATAAATAATACAATGATAATACACATAAATATAAATACTACAACATATATAACATAAATAAATAAAATAAATAAAATATTTTCGATTACCGATAACATTACAAGAAATACCAAAACTCGCGTTATTTTTTTTGTTTACTTTATCTAACAAATGACAGAAAAAGAGGAAGATTACTCCTCATTGCCTCTTACCGAAAGAATAACCCATAAGGCATGGAATTTACTTTATAAATATATATATATATTTTTTACATTGATAAATTTATTAATAATTACCATAACATCCAAATTATATAAAAAAATAAAAATAATAAATTAATAAATTAATTGAAATATATATTTTTTAAATAGATATGGAAGGTTCGAGTTGGAGCATATGAAGAACTCACGAAAAAATTCTCAACAGCAGATCCAAATGAAAATGAGTTCAGACCTTATGAAGGACTTTTGAAAAATATTGCTACAGACTCTAATGCGGTTGCTCAAGAAGCTGGATTATTAACATTATTTGCATATGTAGAAAATGCTCCCAATCCTACAAGGTGCAAAATAATTATTTATAACATTATTAAATTCATATTATCCATTATTAATTCTTATTATTACTATCTATTATCAATTATATTATTATTATTATTATTAATTATCATCAATTATTAAATATTTAAATATCATAGACCGAGAGCTTCAATTGTACCCGCAGTTGTAGATAAAGGGTTTGGTTCGGCTCGCGTCGGAACCAAAAAAAAAGCTGTGGATCTCATTCTAAAATATATAGAAGTTGATATTCCTGATCCAGTTGTGGTATATTATTATCATTATTATTATTTTATATTATTTGATATCATTTGATATTATTTGATGTTATTTGTTATTTAAAAAAAATATAAAAAAATATTATTATTATAGGAAGATGTTTTGAATGGATTGAAGGCCAAACAACCAAAATTAGTTGCAACCACAGTGCATGCACTAAAAGAGATCATAAGGTATTCATTCAATTCAATTCACATTATTGATCTTCCCTTCACTCAATTATTTAATATATTAATTAATAAATTAATTAATTTTTTTTTTAAAAAAAAAATTATTATTTATTTACAAAAAAAAGTTCTTATGGTGCAAAGACTGTAAATATAAAAAATATTTTAAAAATTTTACCAAAGATATTTGCACATACCGATAAAAATGTTCGAGCTGAGGTAATCTTTTTTTTTTCATTTCGGGTTGATTAAATAAATTATTATATTTATTTTTTATAAATTTCTTTATAAATATTTTCAAATTAGACTAATTTACTTTACCAATTAGGGATCTCTACTTGTAATAGAGTTGTATAAATGGTTAGGTCAAAATATTAATTCATATCTATCAGAATTGAAACCAGTTCAGGTAAAATTATTATTTAATTATTATTTATTATTATTTATTTATTATTCATTATTTATTATTATTTATTTATTATTTATTATTATTATTTGGTTAATAGATTAAAGAATTGAATGAAGCTTTCGAAAAATTACCTCAAGAAAAACCTACACAACAAAGATTATTACGTTCACAGCAAGCTGCCGCCGAAGCGGCTGCAGAGGCTGGTGAAGGTAAAAAAAAATAACTTAATATTTATATTCTCGGGACAATTTCTGGGATAATTCTCGAGATACTCGGGGCGATTCTTGGAATAAATTTATCTCAGGAATAAAATTAATTAATTTTAACATTTATAATATTAAATATTAATATAATATTTATATAATGTTCATTTGATATTTACAGCAGATAAGGAAGAAGCGGAAGAGGAAAAAGAATTAGATGCGTATGAATTAGCAGAACCTGTTGATATATTATCAAAAATGGCCAAGGATTTCTATACTCAATTGGTAGAGATGATTTTTCAACTTCATATTCGAATTTTACTTTCAACAATTTTAAATAATAATAATGATAATAATCATCATTCATCTTCTTTAGGGCTCTTCTAAATGGAAAGAGAGAAATGAAGCATTAGTTGGTTTACTTGAAATTTCCAAAACTCCAAGAATTGCGGATAATAATTATACAGAGTTAGTGACTGCACTGGCAAAGGTATGTAAATAAATATATTTCATTATCTATATGCATGTATGCGTGTAAATATAGTAAATATAGTAAATATATGCGTGTGTGTTACTTATTACCGATATATCTTATATTTTACATATATCTCTCTTTCTTTCTCTTCTTCTTTATGGAATTCATAGCGAATATCAGATTCTAATATATTAGTGGTTACATCGGCTGCTGGTAATATCGAAGCATTAGCTTCGGGTTTAAGAGATGCATTTGCGAAATATAAATCAACGGTAAAAAAAAAAGAATTATTTACACATTTCTAATGTTTTAATAATTTTCCTTATTGTAGTTTGTAAGAAGTAAATGCTATATTTTTTAATATATTATATTAACCTATATATTATACATGTTTAATCTGTATTTTTAGGTGATAGGTCCAATTATTGAAAAACTTAAGGAAAGAAAAGCAAGCGTTATTGAAGCTTTATCAAAGGCATTGGATGCGATATTTTTATCTGTAATTATTTTTTTTATTTTTGAATTGATTATATTTTATTTATTTATTTATTTACAAGTAATTATAATTTTTTATTTATTTATTTAAAGGGGACTATATCAGATGTCGCTGAAGATATTATAAATGCAGGAAAACATAAGAATCCTCAAGTGAAAACAGAATCCATGAAGTGGTTGGTCAGATGTTTAAAAAGTGCAAAAGTTGCTCCTAATAAAGCAGAAATTAAATCTTTAATTGAAATGATGGTGAAATCTTCCGAAGATAGTTTTGAACCTGTACGTGTTGCCGCATTTGAAGGTCTCGGTACCATTATGAAAGTTATTGGTGAAAAAACTATGAACCCTTTTTTGGAAGGTTTGGATGATATTAGAAAAGTAAAAATTAAAGAATTCTTTGATAAGGCTGAAGTGAAAATTAAAGTATCTACCGCAAAACGACCTCCTCCCCCTGTAAGCAGTTCACCTGCTCCAAAAGGGAAAAAAGTAATTATTAATTATTAAATATTATTATTATTATTATTGTTATTATAAATTATAATAATAATATTGTATTTATTTCTAATAATATATAAATATATATAACATTAAGGATGAACCAAAAAAGGCTGCACCAAAAACTGCAAAATCACCTGCGAAAAAAGTACCAGCGAAAGCAGCGAAAACACCTGGTGCAACTTCAGCAATCGTACCACCAGCCGCGAAAAAGGGAGGAAAAACGAAGGAGGAAGAACCTATAAGATATAAGTTTACTAATGAAGAAGTTGAAGATAAATTTTCTGAAATGATTCCAGAAGAACAAACAGCTGAAATGAGTGATAAGAATTGGAAGTTACGTTTAGCAGGTATTTTTTTTATATATATTATAAATAGATTATATTTAAATATTTTATTAATATTTTATTTTTTATTTTAGCAATTGAAAAATTGTATGATACCTTGAGTGGGATGGATCCAGCTGAAGTTGAGGCTGAATTGGTTGTACGATTTTTGGCCAAAAAACCTGGTTGGAAAGAAAGTAACTTTCAAGTAAGAAAAATGATTGTTTATCTTTTTAAAAATATTCATAATTAATTAATTATATATTTTATTATAATTACTCATTCATTTATTTATTTATTTATTAATTAATTAATTTATTTTATTTTTTAGGTATTTTCTAAAGCATTTAATATTATGGAATTGATTTGTAACACAGCTCCTTCTTTCGGGAAACCAACGGCTGCACTTTGTATTCCAATTTTATCGGAAAAATTAGGAGATATCAAAGTTAAAAAAAGTGCAGGGGAAACTTTAACCGCATTTGCCGAAAAAATATCATTGCAATTTGTTCTTGGGCAAGGTTAAAATTTAAACAAATAAAAAAATTATTATTATTTTTATTTTTATCAAAAAATTTATATCTTCATTTCTATTTTATTTTTATTTTTTTAATAACAATAGCCTATGAACCTTTACGTAAAGCAAAATCTCCTAAAGTGTTAGCTGATAATTTAACCTGGATTAATGGTGCTTTAATGGAATTTGGAATTGCGGGTCTACAAATCCGAGAACTTATTGATTTTCTCAAATTTTGTTTATCAAGTACCAATGCTTCTGTTCGTACCAATTCGGTTACCATATTAGGTTCCTTAAGAATTCATGTTGGTCCTGGTAAATTGTTTATTCTCTATTATTTCTGTTACATGTTGTTTACGCGTTGTTTGCGTTAGTGAAATAAATGAAATCTTATTATAATTATTTTCTTTAAATAGACATTAGAACATTTGTTCAAGACTTAAATGCTACTCAACTTGCTATAATTGATAATGAATTTGAAAAAGTCAAAGATGAAGCACCTCCCAAACCCGTAAAAGCTAGCGTATGTATTATTGCTATTGTCCATTGTCTCTTTATAGTTTTCTCTTACTCTTGCCTTGTAGTCGTTTTCTTCGTTAAATTCAAGATTTACTCAATTATATTATATAATTTAATAACTTTAGGTTGAAGTAACTAGTTCAGGTGGGAAAAATGACGTTCTAGATGAACTTTTCCCGAAAGTTGATATTGGTGCATTATTCACAAGTAAAATTCTGACCGTAAGTAAAAAATAATAAGTTTTAAGTGAATTAAATTAAATCTATCAAAATTTTTAATATATTTCTATATTCTTTATTATTAATATTTTTTTTTTATAGGATGCTAATGATGATAAATGGAAAACTCGAAAAGAAGCATTAGAACAAATTATCTCGATTATTGATGCTCACAAGAGGATTAAGCCAAATTTAGGTATATAGCTGGATTTCTTTTGTGTGAATTCTTTTGTGCGTGTGTGTGTGTTCACTCATCACATTCATCTTTGCATTCTTTGTGTTATTCTTTATGAATATTCTTTATATACATTCTTCTTAGGTGATTTTGTTCCAATTTTAAAGGCACGTCTAGCAGACAATAATAAAAATATACAAATGATGGCATTGGATATTTGTGGAAAGTTTGCAAACGCGATGGGAAAACCATTTGAAAGACATGTAAAAATATTAATTGGACCTGTAATAGCAGTATTGACAGATCAAAAAGCCACGGTTCGTGGTAGCGCAATTAGTGCATTAGAATGTTTAGCAAATGCTACTGGACTTGATCCTTTAGTTCAATCATTGGCAACTAGTATCGCAACTGAAAATCCACTTTTACGAAAAGATTTATTAACATGGTATTCGGATCGACTTAAAGATGCCGATGAAAAAAACAATTTACCAGATTTACAATCATTCGTGTTACCTATATTATCATGTTTACAAGATCGTAATGGTGAAGTAAGAAAAGCTGCTCAAAGTTGTTTAGGACCTATAGTAAAAAGTGCTGGTTATGATTTTGTAGTAACCCGATGTGGTGATCTTAAAGGTGCAGTAAAACAATCAATTATGCCAATGATTGAAGCTGTAAGACCGGCTCATGGTAATGGACCACTTCCTAGAGGAAAAGATGCTAAAAAACTTGGACAAAAATCTCGTATTGCAACTACACTAGCCAAAGATAATTCGGATGATGTAGAAGATGAAGATCCAACTCCAAAATTACCACCCGGATTAGTATTAAGACCACCGGCTCAAAATAATAATAATACACGTACACTTGCACAACCACTTCCAGTTTCAGCCGTACCTAATTCTAATATTGCATCAGGTTTAACTCAACCAAATAGCATATCAATGAATGGGTCACAACAATCATCTTTAATACCTCCAAATCGACTTCCATCCGCTATAGCCCAAAGGGGTATACAACCACCTAATGGAATAGGAAATGGTATAGGAAGTGGAATTGGAGGTATAAATGGAAGTGGAATAGGTGGTGGAATGACAAGTGGAATAGGAAGAGGAGGTTTAACAGCACCAACTTCACGTCTTCAATTTTCTAAATTTCGTCAAGGATCAAATGGTATGATGATGAATAATCAAGTACCCAATGAGATAGTTGATGAAAAGAATGAACCTTCACCAATGGATATTGATAAATTTGAATATACTGAGAATCAAAATTCAAGTATGATGAATGGAGGAGGGGGGGGAGGAGGAGTAGCTCAACCTAAACAACGTTCTTCGGAACGAAATTCAGCATTCTTATTGGAAATTGTTATATCCAAAATCCAGAATACCGATTATCAACAATCAATTGAAGGATTAAAAGATTTAGATAAACATTTAGGTTCATCACCTGAATCACTTGCACCATTTGTTAATGACATTATTAGTGCATTAGCGATACAAGTTCGATATTCATTTTCACAACTTAATTTACCGTCACATGTATTACTTCGGTTATGCAAGCATTTAATTAATGCGTTAGTGATGTTATTTTCTAATAAGGATTTGGCATTAAAAGTATCTCAAGAATCACTTAATAATTTATTAACCGAATTAGCACATCGTTTATTGGATCATAATCTTCAAATATTAGAAGGAGGTCAACAATTATCAAAAGCACTTAATGTATCAATGGTTAAAGTTCTTGAAAATAGTAATCGAAATGCTGTTTATAAGTAAGTAATTCATTATTTTTATTTTATTTTATTTTATTTATTTATTCTTTTTTTTTTTTATTTATTTATTTAATTTATTTTAGAGTTTTAATATCTACACTTGGTAAATCTGTGGTTAAATTACGAGACTTACGAGAAGTAGATTCTTCGACTCATACAAAATTTACAGAATTAATAATGAAATGTTTATGGAAATTATCAAAAACAATTCAAGAAAATTTAAAGAGTGGAGCACTTGTACCTAATGAATTATTATTGGATATTCATCATTTTATGAATTCATATGGACCAGCTGATCGAAAAAATCGTACATCAGAAAATTCACCATTAGGAGAAGTTCCATTTAAAACAATTAAGACAATATTATTTGAACTTATAACGGGACTTGGGGAAAGCATATTTGAACATTTAAATCTTATCGATAATCCACAAAAAAGTAATTTATTACCATGTTTAATTCATATGTTTGAAGCATATAAGAAAAAACAACCAAATTCAACGACATTACCAGCGACGGCACTTCCATCGACATCAACAACATCAAATGTTCCTTCAGCGACAAGAAGTAGACCTAATTCAATAGGAATGGATGCACGAAATTTCCAAATGCAACAACAGCAACAACAACAACAGCATCAACAATTATTACAACAACAACAGCAACAATTTCAACAACAACAACAACAACAACAATTAAATTTTCAACAACAACAACAACAACAATTAAATTTTCAACAACAACAACAAATACAAATACATCAACAGCAACAAATACAACAACAACAACAACAGCAACAACAACAACAACAAATACATCAACAACAACAAATTAGATCTAGTGAACAACCCATTCAAAGTTCACCTACACCTGAATTAACTGGACAACAATTTAATGAAACATCTAATAATTCGGAACCGGTTAGTCCAGCATCACCAAATACTCCTATGACACCAGGGTTTCCCAATACAACTGGTAACGGAAGGTCATCTGGATCACATGAAGTAGAGATGAATGCTCGATTAACTCAAATATTTCTTAAAATTGGTACACGAGAAGATACAAAACAAGTTAGTATAATATGTTTAAAATTCTTTAATTCTTTAAACTTCTATAATTCTTTAACTTTCTAAATCATTCCAATCATTAAATCATTTAATATTAATATATATAGGGTATCTATGAATTATACGAATTCCAAAAACATCATCCTGAAATGGAGGGTAAGGTAGCGACACAATTAGCAAAAACAGGTCCTTATTTCCAAAGTTATATTCGTCGGGGGCTTGCAAATATTGCAGCAGAAGAAGAAGAAAAGAAACGAACAAATGATTTTGAAGAAGTTAAAACTTTAAGTAAGTGATATTTATTTCATATTATACACGTATATGATATTTATTTATGTTTATTTATTCATTTTCTTTTATCTTTCAACTTTTAATTTATAATAATTTATAATAAATTTATTAGTTCCAGAAGAAAGTGGTCAAGAAGAAAAAGATGGTGAATTATCATTTATTGATTTATTATTATATCTTTAATTTTATATACATATTGTATATATATATATATATTATATTTACTAATTTTCACTAAATCTTATTATTCTCTATTCATATTTTTTAGTAGATGATGTGTATAAGAAAAAACTAGCAAGATTACAGCATGTCTTTGGTTACGATGATAAATGAACAAATTTTAATTTTTTTTTTTTTTTAAAAAAAAAAAAATGAAATAAAAAAATTCAATTATCTAGAAAATGACATTTATTTTTTTATAATTATTATAGTTATTATTATTATTATCATTATAGACAGGGAAAAAAAAATAATTTATAAATAAATAAAGTAATAAAATATAAAATAATATATTATTCATAATACTTATATAATAAAATAATATTATACAAAATAGACAAAAATAAAAATAAATAACAGTACTGTAAGAATACGAATATATTTATTGTTTTAAATTAATTGTATTTAAAGCTTCTTTAGCTTTAAGATGATCTTTAAGTGCAGCCAATTTTAAATATTCAATTCCTTTCGGTTTATCTACTTCAAATCCTAATTTTCCATTAACATAAATATCACCTATTAAATATTGAGCAGCTGTATTTCCACCATTAACTGCCATCATTAAATATTTCATAAATAAAGCACTATCAACTTTTTCACTCATTTCTTTTAAAGCAAAAGCATATCTTAATTGAGCATCAGGATTTCCATTATCTGCGGCTTTTTTAAATAATTCACAGGCCGTCACCTTATCACATTCAACTCCACCTAACCCTTCCCATAAATAATAAGCTTTCCAATAAATTGCAAGATAATTCTTACCAATGTCTGAATGTCCATTAAAACATTTCCAGGCTTTATTATATTCTTTTCGTTTATGAGCTGTGATTCCATCTTGCATAGATAAAAGTGGTTCAAAGGACATTTTTTCATCTATATAGAAATCTTCAAATTTATCATCATCATCTTCTTCATCCTCTTCTTCTTCACTGTCATTGTCATCATCATCACCTTCTTCATCATCTTTTTCTTCTTTTATGACATCAGATTTGAGTTTAGGTGATAGACCATCGGGATTTGCAAAGTTTTCATTGAAAACATCATTCAGTTTATTGAAAATGTATAAAAGATCTTTACGATCTCCTGGATCATGTTTCCATGCTATAAAATAATAATTATTATTATAAATGATTATAAATTTAATTATTATAGTATAAATTAAATTATTATTATTATATTAAAATAATTACCTTCACTAATGATTTTAAAGAATTTTACTTGAAGTGAATTTGGTTCCGGTTCAGGATGAAAACTTTCTCTTCCTCCTTTCATTACATGACTATAAATTGTGTCCGTATCCCATCCTTCATAGGGAATTCGTTCAAATGCCAATTCCCAGAGAAGCATTCCAAAACTAAATATATATATATATATATATATATATAAAAGATTATATATTTATTATATTTATTAAAATAATTTAAAAAATAACTTTTATTTAATTAATTTACCTAAATATTTCACATTGGACAGTATATGGAACATAAAATTCTTTATTTCCACTTATTTTTTGCATATGTTGATACATTTTTTCTGGAGCCATCCAATTTAGAATATTTTTAATTTGTTTCATATTTTTTTGTTTGAGTGATTTTTCATTGTAATCACGACTTGCATTAAAATTTGCGATTTTGGGTGTTAAATTTTCTGTGATCTTAAAGAATAATTGAATAAATAAATAAATAAATAAATAAATAAAATAAAATATAAATATAAATAATAAAAAAATCTTAAAAAAATAAAACATAAAATATTAAAAAAATATATTAAATATAAAATACAAATTTACCAAAATGTTTGCACATCTAATATCATGATGAAAAATTTCACATCCATGCAAGAAAACAAGTCCACGACAAATATCAGCTGCAATCTTTAATTTATGATTCCAACGAATTTGATATTTCATATAAAATTCTCGTAATGAACCATATTCAGCCCATTCATAAACTAAAACTTTTTCAGATGTTCCACATGAAATTCCCAAAAATTTAATAATATATGGTGATTTTTCTAATTTCCCCAATATTGCGAGTTCTCTTTTATCTTCAATACCATCAGTACCTATTGGTTTACATGCTACATTTACCAACGTTTTTTTGTTTATTTTTTTATATAATTTACCTCGTTTCTCTTCTTTACCATTAATATCTACATAATCTTCAAAATTAATTAAATTAGGTTGTAATTCTTGAATTCCTGGATTACTTTTAAGTAAAACTTGTATATATTCCAACATGTGAGTAATTTGTTTAGATTGTTTAGATTGTTCTTCTCCCATAGCGAGTAAGTTAGTTACTCCTCCACCAATTGATTCCATAAACTATAATTTTAATTTAATTTTAATTAATTAATTATATAATTATATTATATTTAATTTTAATTAATTAATTATATAATTATATTATATTTAATTTTAATTAATTATATAATTATATTATATTTAATTATAATTAATTATATTATATTATAGTCAATTATATTGTATTATATTATATTATAGTCAATTATATTGTATTATAGTTAATCATAATATAAATAAATCATCAGTTCAGTGTATATATTAATTAATACATACCTTGGCCATTTCTTTAAGATCTTCTTCAAGTATTTCTATATCTTTTTTTCTTTGTTCCTCATTTGCAATAAAAATCGAAAGATGTAAATTTGCAACACATGAATCAAATTCATTAATTAAAAATGTAAAATTTTCTTTGATCGAATCATTTGAAATAAATTGTCGAATTCCTGTTAGTTGAGTTACTTTTTGGATGTAGGTTTTGATACTTTGTAATATCGTAATGAACCTTTGAAATGAATCATAATATTCTTTCTTTCGAAAAATTTCTTCATTCTCTTTCTTATGTCTTTTCAAAATATTTACCGCAGCTTCTGCTGCTTGAATTCTATCAATTAACGCTATACAAGTTCTCTTATTAAGTTGTGCAGTTTCATATGCTTTCGTAATTTCTTTCACAAGTGATGATACTTCGGCGAATAAAGGAGCAAAATGCGTAAAAAACGCCTCCCCGATAGTTATTGCAAATTTTGCATTATCTAAACCTTTGTCTGTCTTAGGTTTATTTGTTTTTATTGTTTTTTTCTTTTTATCCTTAGATTTCATCATATATTATTATCTTTGAGAAAATTTTTATTGAGAAAAAAAAAAAAAAAAAATTCAAAATTTGAAAATCGGAGAAAAATTCTAATTTATATAATTTTAAAATTACTTCATTTAATTCCTTAAACGGAAATTATATAAAACAAAAGTAAATGAATATTGTTAAAAAGAATGTGCATAAAATATAAAGTGTATATTGTAATTAGTATAATTAGTATAATTAGTATAATTACATAAGCATATATATTCGCGATAGATAGTTTATCTTAGTTTATTTCACAGGATGCTTTATTTAGGTTTTATCGTTATCAAATTTTTTAATTTTTGAATTTATATAAATAAATATAATATAAACAATTCATTCAATCAAATTCATTCGAATTACATATCTGATATACATTTTATTTCATTTTTATATACATTTATTTAATTAAACAACATTTAAAAAGATTACCGTTTAAATTTTAATTCCTATCATTATTTATTTACAATAAACTTTTCCATCATCAAATGATATATAAACATTATATGACATTTAAAAATGATATTAGAAAAAGAAATTCCTGCTGTAGTCGTTAATGATATAAATCAAAATGAATCAATTTTGACTGAGAAAGTTATTATCGATGACAATTCAAATTTCAATAACAATAATAAGGTCATTGAGAATAAATTATATACAAAAGATAATTTCTTTCAACAAGTTAAAGATGAGGATTTTATAATTGTTGAATCTTCTGGTTCTGGAAGTAGTCAGATTGAAACAAGTGAAGGTATTTATTATTATTATTTTTAATATTATTGTATTATTACACTTAACTTCTCATTCTTGACATTTTTTACATTTCTTGACATTTCTTAACATTTAATATTTTTTTTTTTTTACATTGATATTTCTACATTCTTAATATTTATTAGAATCCAAACCATTAGAAATCGACATTATAGAAGATATAGAAAAGAATTCAGGTAAATTTTTTCAGTTACATATTCATTTATCGGTTATTATATAATATTTCGTATTATAAAGTTAATTAAATATAAAATTTATATATATGAAATATATAGTTTTTTACGAATATCTAGATGACATACCAACTTTTGAAGAAGCTTATGGTAAGTCATAAATTATTTGACATAAGTAAAATGAATATAAATATTATAATAAATACTTATATATCTATATAAATAAATATGATTTCATATCTTTAGGTCTTTCTCCTTATGAATTTTTTGAATATGAAAGATATGAAAAATATGAAAGAAGAGAAAGGGATATTTGTAAATAGAATTCTTGTCAAATTTATTTATTCTAATATTTTATAATTTAATTTAATGCAAATTTGTATATCTACATTCTATATATATTATATATATATATATATATATATATATATATACATTTTATTTATTGTATAATATATATATTCAATTTTTCCCAGTTAAAACTTACTCTTCTAGATTAATGCCGCCTCCATCAAAGTTTCAGAAAAAACAGAAAAAAGAAAATTCCATGGATAAATATTTTTGTGGAATTAAAATTAAAAATAAGTATGTTATTATCATTATTATTACTATTTCGATTATTTTTCTTTATTGTCGAAAATAACATATTTTATATATATATATATATTTATTTATTTATTTATTTATTTATTTATTTATATATAGGTTTATCAAAAAGATATTATTTATTAAAAATCACCGTTAATATTATCTTTATAAGAACTATGAACTTTAAGAAGTATGCATATTTTTGAAATTTAAATCTATTTTTAATATTATTAAGGATTTCATAACCATTGTTTGCATGGTTACACAAACTATTGGCTTAAAACTTGTCGAAAATGGATATTAATATGATATGATTAAAAATACTAGGAAATTAATTTTATTCTCCTTATTTTTCTTGACTTAAAAAAAAAAGTCTTTAAATTTCTTGAAAAATTATCTAAAGATTTCACTGAACTTCTTGATGATAATGAAGAATATAATGTTATTGAGACAAATAAAAAATTCTTTACTGTCTTACGTTATCTTTTAAAAATGAATTAAAGAATATCATTGGCAAATGAAAATAATATTAAAATCATTACTAAACCAATTATTCTTTTGAATTATTTGAAATTATTCTCAAGTATGTTATAGTATATATTAATATTTATTAATCCGAGATTTGGGATTATGTTATTAAAATGGGGAATTTTCTCAGAATCTGATTTTCCTATGAATGATCAAAAGAAAACCTTTTCTATAGCTGACTCGCGGATCATCAATTAATAATATTTTCTTGTTATAGCATATTTTATTTTAAATAAAATTCTTTACACTATTGATTTTGTAAATTAACAATGATAGATAATACATATAATGATGAATAAAACTTTGTTTTTAAAGCTTTTAAATCAATATTAATAAAGTATTAAACTAATGTCAAACCATTTCGAGAATTGCCTTTTGAACATAAAAAAAAATCCAATTCGATAAGATCTGTATTTCTAGGTACACTAGGTACAGAGTAAATCATGATACAGACAGTCTAATTGAATGCTTATAATATGTGTACCTTGTCGAACTAATAGTTAATAATATACTTTAGAGATTTTAATATATTTACAGAAAGAGAATTGATGCATACAACATTACCTTAGACTTAGCTGGGATGATTCCATTTGACAATCTCCCACTTGAAACGCAAAAATGCCATGCCTGTCGAAAACAAATTAATAGAATAACTCAAATAACAAAAATGCCACTGTATTGTAAATGATATAGCTTACTTTCATACGGGAGAGAACTTGACCTTCTAGAACTGGATCAATTTTAACCACAACTACATCATGAACAAGATCTCTGTATAATCAATAATTTTATACTTTATTCATAATGTGTTCTTCTTTCTGTGAATATGAGACCTTGATAACAATATTAGGCCAAGGCTTGTCCTAAAACAAAATGCAAATATGAAACTTATGGTTTATCAAAAACAAATGTAAGGAATGAAAGATACTTTGCCATCACTTCTGTTTGCTGCAGTTGTTGCTTTTTTTTTTTTCAGGCTAAATGATCCATCAGCTTCTTTGCCAGAACCACCACCACGAGTTACTTAAACTAATTAGTATTAGTTTATACCATATATGTAATCAATGAAAGTTATGCTTATGAGTAGATCCAAGGCCATAAATCTCTGTATCAGTAAAAGCAACAGTATCACATTGATGTAATAATACTCTATTAATTGAATTGATACAAATTTCATGTGGTCTTGATGCAAGTTCAATAATTGTAACTATGCCATTGGACCATTCACATAATTCATGAATATTAAAAATGTCACAATGGTATTCATATTTTTCTAAAGACACCCCTCTCAATAAGCACATATGGGAGCCTTGACATAATTAACAAGAATGAGTTTTTTCTTCGGTAAGAAAAAAGCAAGTTTTACTTACTCAACTTGTGCCCAGTTGGCTTTTGGGTGAAGAATTCCTTGATCCCACCAAAGTTTTTGAAATTTTTTTAGTTCATTTGCAGAATTGGAATAATTATCAGGCATCTGGTAAAGAGAACTTGGAATGGTGCAAATCTTGACATTACTATTTCTGGAGATTAGAAAATTAAGAGGATACCAATTGCATATAAAATTATTTATAGACTTACCTTTAGTTTATAGTACTAGAACTTTCTGTCAAGTGTCTATTAACAGTACAATATTTATTAAAAGTGAAAGTTGACATTTCATTATACATTGACACAAATTGACACTATATTAAATGGTAATTCCTTTACTATAGATCAGCTAAAAATCAGTAACAATCAACTGTCCTATTGTATTCTATATTATAATCAACAAAAATCAGAATTCCTTTTTGGTACAGCATATCTTTTGACTTGTGTGATAATCAGAGAGTTGATATATAATATAATCATTTTACAGTTACCAGTGCTCATATGAAACTTTTTTGCCAATCTTTGCTCTGTTGAATATTTTTAAAATTATTACAGAATTATATATTATGAATTATAAACCAATCAAATCTGATATAAGAAAAAAATCTAATCAAAGTATCAGATTTATGATTGTATTACCATTCTGCAATAATTGATTTAACATCATGGTTTTACTATCAGGAATTAAATAAAAACATTCTACAACACTATATGAACATTGTTTATATAGTGTTCTTAGAATGGTACTAACATACTAGAACACAATGTTTTAGTACATTATTTGAATATTTTATACTTATAACATTCTAGAATATAATGTTCTAATGTGTTATTTGAACATTTTGTACTTATAGCACAATGTTTTAGTGTATTATTATACTAGAATACCTCTATAAAATTCCTGATGACAGTATACATTGTGATAAAGTTTGATTTGGTTTGAGTTAAAATTTAGTTGATGCAATTGAATTGAACTGGAATTTGGCTGTCACAATTAATTGAACTAGAATTTAGCTAGAACAAGATCAATTAACCAGAGTACAATTAATTAAGCCAAGTTAAAATTAATTGAGCTAACTATTTCTAGCAAAGAACTTATAGACTTTCTAAAAATAAAATATGAGGAACACTCTCTTTCAAAAAGGAATCATAAAGCATGCATCCATAATATACTTACACACAAAATTATTTTGAGTTCCAAAATTGTAATTTGAAAAAAAAAGTCAAAATAGTTTTTCATAGAAAACAAATTTATTTTTACTTAAAATTCAAAATTTTTTTAACTACTCAGATAAATTTCTTGATTAAAGATACACTTAACTAGGTATTTTTTTTACTTCTATATATAGAATAGATTCTGAGTAAATCTCAAAAAGATGAAATACTCAAATCAATTTTGAAAACATGTATAGTCTATAAACATTTGACACTTTTCATCTCTAAAATTAAGAAAAATGGAAGAACCACAATTTCCTTACTCTTCATCTAGGAAGAAACTGAACAGAACAAGTAACTAATGTATGTAATGAGATTAATTTATTTGATAACAACACCTGAAATGACAAAAGGTTAGTGCAATATTATTAGTTAGGATTGCTCATGTATTTAAGAGAATTCAATAATACAATTAGACAATATATCAAAGTTTACCTTCTCCTTAATTTTGTGTATGACTTTTGGCAGATAGCCAAAAGAGTATATATATTATATTTAGAAAGAGGTACATATAACATCTCTGGTATTACCCATATATTGTGTTATACTTTAATAAGAATAATTTTTAAGATTTATTAACAGAAGCTATATTAGCTAGAATAGATAAACAATAGTCATAATGAGTTAATGAATCAAGTCCTTTAGTTCTTGTAGAAACTCAAACATAAGGAGGAAAGTGTGTTATTATTTTTTTTTCAATTCTTATTTAATTCATTTTTATATTCTTGTTTATAACTGTCATATCCTGTTACCTTTTATTTTTACCTCTATAATCCTTCTTTTATCTGTTACTACCTTCTTTATTATTTTTTTTGTCTTTTTTTAACTATGATTTTTAAACTTATCTCTATTTTATATCTATTTTATTCATGTTAATTTACTTTTGCTTTAATTTTAATCCCTTTATTATATCCTCACTTTCAAAATTACCCTTGTTATTATTATTTTTTTTCTTTCTTTTTATTTTTATCAATATATAATTAACTGATAAATTAATTTATAAAATAGTTTCTAAAATGTATATATAGAGCTTTAAATTTTTCTTATCATATAACAAGTAGAACAACAATCCAAATAGTGATTCAATTTTTTTCTTTATTTTATATAGTAATCATTATAAATAATTAGTACTTATGATTATATAGTCTTAAGTAAAATCATTAATTAGATATTTTATTTTCTTGTAAATATTTCTTTATTTAAATAAAATTCTTTCTTATTATATTCTTCTATTTATTCTTATAGTATAAAATAATCTTATCTTTTATTATTTTGATTTATTTTGTTTTCAAGATTATCTAAATTATTGATATTGCATAATCTTAAGTCTTAAATTCTTAAAATAAACTATACTTTTTTGTTTTCTCATTCATTTTGTCATATGACTTAACTGGAATTATATTTTCCTTATTATTCTAACTATCTATTTATCTATTAAATCTATATAAACCTTTTTTTGAACTCTTTTAATTTATTCCATTTCCTTACTATTGTTATCATTTGTTATATCTATCTCTCTTTAGTTTTCTTTATTATTGTTCTGTTCTTTCTTAATCTTTATACTTATCCAATCTCACTATATCATTATTTATATTCTAGAATCTTGTTTATTCTAATCCTAAAAAATAAATTAGTGTTTTTATTAGTATTATAAGTTTTTTTATACTCTCAAAACTCCTGATAACTACTGGATTAAACTTAAGTATTTTATTGTCTTGTTATTATTCTTCCAACTAAATAGTATCAACGGATTATTTATCTGATTTACAGATTATTTATTCACTCACAGATAATTCTTCAGTTTGTGAATCATCTATTCAATCTGTAAATTATTTTTCAATTTGCATTGTGAATTCTTTAAAGTTAAACTTTTTTAAAAAATGAAAATAATTAGTAACTGTTATAATATATAAAAAAAAAATTTTTTATTAGAAAAATATTAAAAATAATTTCAATGAATCTTAAAGTCAAAAACAAAGTGTATTTATGATAAAAGTTTCAGATTGATTCTTTAAAAATTAAACAATTACAAATATTTTAACTTAAAAATTTAAAAATTTTAAAAAAATATTTTTGAAAATTAAAATCTTTGTAATCACCCAGTTCTTAAAGAATCGGTCTGAAACTTTTATCATAAATGTATTTTATTTTTGGCTTTAAAATTTATTAAAAGTATTTTAATATTTCTCAAATAAAAAAAATTTTTGATATGTTATAACAGTTATTATTTATTTTTATTTTTTTAAAAATATTAAATTATTCTTGTTTAATTTTTTTAAAAAAAATAAAAATAAATAATAACTATTATAATATATAAAAAATTTTTTTTATAAAATGATCTTTATAAATCTTAACGTTGTTACAGAATGAAAATATAATGATAAAATAATATTAAAAATACCTGCAATAATTTATAATAACCCTTAAAATAATATTTAGAATTTAATATTAGTTCATGTAACAAATAGTAACAATC